AATACCATTGTCAATCATTTATCATGCTTCTCTTTAGCAACTGCTTTGGTAAACTCATTTGCAGCACCTAATTGCCTCACAAATATTTTGCATCAGTATCAAATGGTTTATGTTGAGGACATAAAATTTAAAAGTTTAAACAATGGTCTCATCTTCATTTTATCTGTGTTTCTAACATTCAAATTTTGTTAAAAATCTGCAGATATTTTCTCAAAATATTGATATATTTTGCAGTATTATTTAAAACGTTAACATTAGTAAAACATTCCCTGTTTAGAGAAGCTCTGTTATATCTGAAGCAACAAATATAGATGTTGGAAATTGCTTGAGGATATTCAGGGTGGTCATAAAAAAAAGACGTCTCTGATATATGTACCCCTAACAGCCTATCCGCTCAACCAATCAAAATGAAATTTCAAATATTGTTGTTTGATGATATGTGCTCGAGATTGTGATTGATTGAAAACGATAGAGCTCTCACAATTACGGTTACAGCGAAAAAATTTTTCAAGTTTTCAAAAGGCGAGACCCTTTTCTTTTCTGTGAAAATGAATAGGTGCATTGAAAAACTATAAATGTCGTTGGGATGATACACATATAATGAAAATTGCTGGCGTAAAATATTTGCAAAGAAAAGGCATTGGAAAGGGCCAATGACAACACAAAATAGGAGAGGGCCTCCTTCTCAGATGATAACGCATTGCATACGGGAGACTGTTGACAACAGTGAATAACGTAACATCCCAGTAGAAACCTGTATTAATTTCACGTTTTATGAGTTCTTTCAATTTTGACAAATGTGGGTTTGATTTGTAGGTTTCAGATAACCCCAGAACCAGAAATCTGTCGGAGTGATGTCGATTGATCGCAGTGACCACGAAACTGCAAAGTTACGAGAGATTTCGAAATGTTTTACACTTTAAAAACTTGTAATTCAATAGAACGTTATTACCCTGTCTTCTATTGTGTTGTCACTGGTCCTTTACAATGCTGTTTATAATTTTGCAAACGTCTTAGCCGGCATTTTCGTCATACGTCTATCGTTCCAGTGCTGTTTATGATTTTTCAGTGTGCTGACCAATTTTTGCAGGAAAAAAAAGGGTGCTGCCATTCGAAAATTTCGAAATCTTTTCACTGTAACCGTAATTCGAGAGCCGTATTATTTTAAATCATCACAGTCTCGAGAGCATACCTTGAAATAACGATAGCTTAGATTTCATTGCTGTTGGTTGAGTAGGTAGGCCGCTAGGTGTTCATATATTGGGGAAGTTCTTTTATGTTCCCTGTATCTATTCTTACTTTTAGGTTGTATTTATCTTTTTCCAAATCATTTTCTTTCATAATAGATTAAGTTCTAAAATGTCACTTTTAAAAAAAGTTCAAGTTCACATTCACTATTACAGTTGCGATTGTTATAAATTAATGTATTTACGAACAAATTTAAAATGCGACTCATATTTAGTAGTTGATTCTCTTACTTCATGTGATATCATCGCCATATCTAGTAGCATTCTCAATCATCGTATTTCTTTCTCATAATCAGTTATTTTTCACTTCAGTGATATTTTTGATAAGCTATAAGTAATCATACAGTCGCCATCTATGCAATCTGAAAACTAAATTGTGAAATTTTAGAACGTAACATAAATAATCACATGGGATTTCCAGGTTACCCCAATTTCATGTGGCCTTCCAGTAGATGATTGCTTCGTATTAACAAAAGAGAAACACCAACTGTTTTTGACAGATGCTACTAAATATGGGATTAATAGAATAAGATGCGAAAATGTAACTGATAATGGCCAGTTCAAGGTTTTGTAGTTGAATGTATTCGTAGTTTGACATGCTCCACAGGCATGTGTGATTTTTGAACGTGTAGTAGGCAAATCTAGTTATTGTTACCCAGTTATTGCCCTTGTTAATCATGTTAAAATTTATCAGCATTTTGGTTATAGTATTTATTTGATTGCATAGTTAAAAAAAATAATCACCTATAAAGAGTTTATCTACGTCGAAATTATATGTGGATTCAGACTAAAACTCTTTTATACCCGTTTCACCAACAAACATTTCGAGATTTGGGTTTCCGTCAGTTTCACACCAGTCCAATTTATCTTCAATGTTTGAATTATTTTCATCTGCAGTTTTTCATTTGAAAAATATCACTTTTTTTTTTTTTTTTTCTGTTACTATCTGGAATTGTTAAATTGCTAAATATTGTTAAATTGCTGTTACTATCTGGAAGTTCACTATCACTTTAAGAATAATCTGATAATTTATCAGAACTATTTTATGTTGTGCATCGGTGTGGGAATCATGCAAAGCGATTTTCAGAATGGGTAAAACTGCAAAATAAATCGCAGCTTCTTGTAAAGCAACAGACCATAGTGTTTCACTGTTATCTAATATGGAACTGAGATCACAGTCTTCTACTTTCAAAATTTGTTTTGTTTGGACTGTGATGATAGTCAAGTCATCTGCAACTGAGATCACAATCTCCTTCTTTTAAAGTTTGTTCTTTTCTGGACTCTAATCACAGTCTTCTGCCTGCAAAGTATTAAGAAGTTACTGTTATGGAAACGTATAGAAAATTAATCAAAATGTTTCAGACTGACCGAAGGGGTCAGTTTAAGGAAATTTTAATAGATGATTCATGAAATTTCAAATTGGAAGTAAAAATATTATTGCTAAATGTTTGTAATTTATTAGAATTAATTGACTGGTGAAAACGTTTAACTTTCATTTAAAATCGTTCAAAATTAACACGTTTCAAAAATCAAGAAGCATCATATTAATTTTTTTAAAGAACAGAGGCTTTACTAATACTATTTACGGTCATTTGAGCCTTACTTTTTCATACCATATTTTGTTCTTCGTGCTAATGTAGAGTTTCCCTTAGTTCAGTTAACTAATTAGTTAAGCTTTTGTTATCTTTTCTGAACTCCTCAACTTCCCCTCGCATTTCCTCGCCAGGCTGAAAATTTAAAATTAAGTGAGGTGAATATTTAAACGGGTGAATCTTGGAGTTTATTCAGAGCGTGTTTTCGCTAGCCAGTGCACGTTGCGAATCTGTCCTTGTTGTTACGAGGAGTTGCTGATACGACTTTTTGGCCATTTAAATAATTATCACGTCGAGTAGGTTGCTGAGTCAACCTAGTTACCCTTAACTTAAAGTGCTAGTTTAGCACTACTCTTTAGGCTTTAATTTATTGTGTAACGATTCTTAAGTTCACCCACAAGTCGTAAATCTTTAGTAAGAATGGACTGAATTGAATCGTAACTTACGTTAAGCTCTTTGTTCAGCTATTTCGTGAGTGGCAATGCTACGGTTTTACAGTGCAGGTAGAAGCTAGACCAGCACCTCTAGTACAGAGGTGAGGTATTGCCGAACCTAGCTAACTATTAAGCTTCTCCCCCCTATTTCGAGGGGAACTGTCAGGGGGTCCAAGGTTCTGCCACCCTTATTCCCGTACCATCAACTTCTCGAGAGAACTTTCGGCGTGCCGTATATTTTGATTTGTCCCTTGCCATATACTATGCGGTTAGCATCCATGCCTCTCCGGGATGTGTAATGTAAATATGGGCCAGTTTTCTGTACAAAATCTCCCACAAACTCCTCCTTAGGCAGATAGCCCTCAAGTGCCTTGCCGTAATCAAATAAAATAAACGAAAACATCCATGCCTTCTCTGGGATTCGAATTCGGACCTATCAGTTCGGCATTGAGCATCACTAACCATTATACCGACTGGGCGGCAAATTTTTGCTCACCTCGAACCCACATCTTTGATGTTTTTCCCCACTTTTGCTGGATAAAGGTATCACAAAGGTTTGAATTATTCATAACCTCATGTATGGCTCACATGCTCCTCCCCATATATTTTATGTAATTATGTATAGGTCTGTATGCAGGTATCACCAAGCTTTTGGCAAAATTTGATGTTAATTATCTGTTAAAGTTCAGCAGAGTGAATGTGATGACAAGACACTTCTCATGTTCCTTCACAAAAAAAAAAAAAAAAAAAAAAAAAAAAAAGTAGTGAGCTAGATTGTTACACTTGTAACACATTCCCCCACTATGAGTAGGTGGCACCAGTTCCAATGCTTTTTGATCGTACTTTGTATGGTATGTAGGTGAAAGATGCTGCTGAAAAAATAAATGAAGGTATTTGGGGAGAGTGTCTTGCATATGTTATGAAAGATGCAAAACTTGCATTTGGGAATCTATAGATATGTGTAGAAGACCTAATAATGTGTATACGGAGCTTAGAAACACATGCTAGCAATCAAAGCTAGTTGCAGTATAACAAATAATATATAACTTTTAATGAGCAAAAATTAGTGAAGAACAAACAATATGCTGAAACTATTTGCAGTTTTTTTTATTTTTTATTTATTTATTTAATTTTTGTATTGAATAAATTTTATGTCACCAATTTATGTCTTGCGCCTTCAGGTTAGGCTTGATTTATGCGTAGATATTGAATCACTAACATAAAACCTTTGCAACAAATTCAGGAGAACTTTGCATTTCTTTCAGATTTTGGGAGTAGTTAAATGTGTGTAATTTCAATTGATGTAAACTGTTCTGTATATCAGTTAGATGGTAAGGCTTATTATCAACACTATTCTTCCCAGAAAAGTATAGCGCATTATCTATTGTGAAGGAATTGTTATCCTAATAAGAGTGACATACATTATTAATTGTAAAACAGTATGTTTCTTATATCTGCAGTTTATCTGAGTTTTCTTATTTGGAGACACATATAGATTTTTGATATGATATAATATGTTATTTAATCAATGTTCATGTAAATAGTATCATAGCATAATTATCATAATAATGTAACATATTTTGAAATTTTATTCAGCATTAGTGTCATATCTCTATACATGTTAAAGATAAAAATTTCCATTTTTCTAATTAAAGTACTCAAAGAAAGTTTAAGTTTCCCCCCGTATAGTTTGCAAGCCGTAATTTGATTAAATAATTGTGTTGTAGGTTATGTTGCCCCAGAATGTTGCTACTATATTTACCATTGCTGCACTCAGCTCTAAATTGCCTTCCCAACAGCTTTCAACAGATAATATACCAAGTATACCAGCTCTTCCAAGCAGCTCAATGTCATCCAGCTCGCCACATCATTCAGCATCTGGTATAGGATCTGTTAGTTCAACTCCTTCTCCAGTTGTATCGTCATCCCTACGTAATAGTGAGTTCAGATTTGTTGCTGTATTCTTATCATTATGTGTAAGGAGAAAACATCCTGCAAGTAAATGTTATAATGTTTTAATTTAGGATACAGAAAAGCATATAATTTTTATTGATGTATTTAGTCTATGATATAAAACTCTTTAAGTGGCATTCTAATAATCAGAAAGTATATTTCACAAAAGATGCCATTTATTCTTTAACTGTGGATTCATTTGATTATGGTGTATTTACTTTGTAAATGATTGGAATATTGGTACTTTTCTATTTTGCCGGCGCAAGCAGTAAAGTCGCCAAAAATGGTACAACCGATGCCAAACGGAATTTCCTCGCTAGTAACGTTTTACGCTTCATTTTCGAAACAAGTCGCAGCCATTTCTTATCAGATTGATTCTTTCAATACTGGCATATAATTACATAGAATTTTAACCAGATAGTTTAATTTTATGCCCTAAGGCCATTCGCGGTAATTAAGTCAATTAGGATGCAATCACACCGCTCACCTGAAGGCGAAAATATAGAAAAGGCAAAGTCAACGGTTAAATTCATCAGTTGTAATGATAATGCACTACCGAAGTAAATCACTGCGGTTTCACATAATTTCTGAGTATTTCAATATTTCAAATTCCTTAGATAATTACCGAGAGAATTAGATTTTTGTAGCGTAGTTTACGTAAGATGAGATCACTCGGGGTCACGTGATATGAAATGGCGAATCAGGATGTAGTACCATGAAAGCATAGTAAATTCTTAAATTAATGTTTTTTTCTAAATTTATTGTCTTTTTAGAAAATTTTAAACGATATTAAAATTTTTATGCCTTCAAAATAAAAATTTCTTAGAACTAACATTTGCTAACATTTTTTTTTATATATATATACTGTGTGTTGTCGCCAATAAAGTCTGCTTGGCGAGATTTGCGCCGGCGAAACGGAAAAGTACCGGATTATTTTATTTCAAATTTGAGTTTTGAAATTTAAAATTAAGCTTAGACTTTCATTTTGGTATTTCATTGCTGTTATTGATACCTTATACATTGCTTATATAGTGGTATAACGTATAAGCCTTTTTTTATCATTTTTATTGGTATGCAGTTTTAAATTAGGAATATATATTTCAATTTTTATTAATTTGCTTTTCTCGCATGAACATTTAATTGTAAGTAAGTAAATAAATTTTGAGAAAATTTTGGTAATTAGGCTTAAATGCAATTATTGGTTTTGAAAATATGCCAGACCATTAAGCTATTTAAATTTATTCGTTTTGGCTATGATCTTGGTTTAATTCTCTATTTCCTCACGGACTGGAGGAAACGGCGTTCGTCAAAATCCTCATCTCCTTTCTTCTTGCTTAAAAGCAAGATTGCTACAAGCTTCAATTCTCTATTTCTTCGTGTGTGATGTGAAGGTAAATATGTAATCCAAATTCCGGTGGGGGTTTATACGATACTGTATTTTAGCAAGGCTGTTTTGATCGTGATTGTAAATTAGTTAGGGAATTTTATGTATGTTCCTTATATGCAACTTGTTTGAGAAATTCCTAGTGGAAAAAAAATAAAGAGAAAATGAACTCGGCAGACTGATATTTGCATTAAACAGTTCAAATTGACGTGCCGAAAAAAGAATTTGTATGTTACAACTCTTTGGTTTACATGATTGCATTTTCCCTTCACTTAAGCGTGGAAAAGTATCTCGCTAATAAACTGTGCTGATTTAACGATGAAAGGAACATTTCCTCAAAATACAAAATAAGAATTATAGTAAGACTATAAGCTTGGAAAGTGCTGACTATTGGATATGTCAAAAATCCGGACAGTTGAGCGTATAAAAAAGTGTAATACATGGTAAAGAAGGCAAACGAGTAGAAGAAATTTCTAGCCTAAAATTATAAAAACAATCATCTTATTTCTTATCCATTTGAATATATCGGAAGATTACATTATTTTAAATACTTTTAAGATTTTAGGGGGAATGTGTTTTAGATATAAAAGCCGATTTATTTCGCAAACCGTACGTATGGAAGTAAAATATCTTACTGGATTGTGAAATCTCATCCAACATGAAAGTTCACAACAATTTCGCCAAATTTGTATTAATTATTCTGACAGAAGTTTAAAGGAATAGATCATTCTTTATTTGGTTAGATAATCAATAGATTCAGGTTACGGGTATAGCGTATAAAAAATTAAATCGCTTATCAGAATTTTTCGCGTTGCATCATTGTTTATCCGTTTCCAAATAAAATCATGTATCGTTCCCATTAACTCACGCCTTACTTAATGCCATGATATGATAACTCTGAACATAATCCTCTGCATACTGTTCTATACAAGGCAGATAAAAAATTTAACCATTTTTTTCGAAATAGGAAGGAAAAACGAATAAAATAACAGTTAACTTATATTCTCTTTTACAAAAAGTAACCCGGCTGATCGAGATTTAATCAGGTTTACATAAAAAACAAGATGAAGATCTTATAATTATATTCTGATGGTATGCTTACCCATTATAGGCACTAAATCACACTATTTGATTACACTATCCTATACGTGCTTTATAAAAGTTTTAGAAGTCTTTTCTTGGAGGAAGGCTGTTTCTAAAATTCTAAATTATTCTACTTGAGCTTGCCGTAGATGAATGCTGTATAGTCGGTCTTTTACTACATATGGTTCAGTAGCATAATTTTACTCAAAAAAATGTTTTGAGAATTAGATATTAAGAACCCACAAAATCTTATATCATACATAAGCAATTGGTGGTTTTATATGGAAAAGTTGTTTTTATACTTTTGTCAAACTATGTAATGTGCATGTTAAATTCCAATTAGCAAAAATTTGGCAGAATTATGTGACAATGCACTCTTACAGGGTTCGTATGGTCCTTAAGAGTCCTTAAAAGTCTTTAGGTTTTTTGGAATTGATTTTTGGTCTTTAAAAGTCCTTAATTTTGGCCGAAATCAGCAGAAGGTCCTTAATTTTAATCATCTGAAATTTCTGTCTGTTTTTACGACTGCCATTTTGAGTGTGACTTAGCATTTTGGAGGAATATTTTTGGCAATTCACTGACGTATATATGGTTATCTTTTGTTTCTATTTCTAATATAAATGTGGGATACTCGAGTTTCTACGCAAGAAGTGAAACATAAGCATTTTGAAATTCATTTTTTCTAATAAAGAGCTCTTAAACAACTTTTTGCTTTTGGGGGTGTGAATTCTTTTATTAAACTGTTCAAAATTTGGCGACTTTTAAACATTTTGGCGATTTTAAGATCAGTTTCTATAGAAACTTTTTAATTCCGAGATCTGAGAATTTTTCGATGATTTTTTTAAAACATCGTAAAATTGATTAATTTCATTAAAATAATGGTAATATATTGAAATTATATTTAAAAATAACATTAAAATAAAACATTTTTATTTTTCGCTGTCATAATAAAGTTTCATTTTGGCAACTTATTATAAAGTTTCATTTTGGCAACTTATTATAAAGTTTCATTTTGGCAACTTATTATACAATATTTTGAATCTGAAAAATGAACAAGGTATAATGCTATAAAGCACAATTTTTGAAACGGCTCTTAGCAAAAGCAAAATTAGTTATGTAATTAATTAAAAAGTCTTCTTTTTAATTTTGTCGTAGTAAGAGTTTTTTTCCATGTAATTGTCTCAGAATATTCAAAATTCTCAGAATATGCATCAGTTTTCTCTATAAAATTAATTTTATACTTTTTCCTTCTCCTTTTTTTTTTTTTTTTTTTTTTTTTTTTTTTTTGTCCAAAATATTTCTGGCTTTTTGCTGTTACGATATTGGTAGGGATAATTTTTCTTCAGGATTTTAGACATTGCAACTTGGAAAGTCTAGAAGGATTTGAAGGCAAGATTTATAGACCCATGATTCTAGAAGATTCGAGAAATATGTGACAAAATTAAAAGTGTCTCCATGGTATCAACACGTAGTGGATGTATTTTACAGAAAGTTTGCAATGAATTTCTTACTTTTTGGAGAGCGTCTGGAAGAACAATGAAAACATAATATTTGAATCTTTTACTTCTGATACTAGAATCTTAACATGTTTATCTTCCCTTTATTTTCTCTACTTTTCACTAGACACAAGCATGGAAAATATCAAAAATGCTTCTAATCTTATCACATGGGCAGGCAATTATAGAAAGGGGTGTTTTTATTAATAAAGAAATTGAAAACTTAGAATTTAAAAGATTCATCTAATATGTCTTAATGCATCATACACATAGCTGGCACTTAGGCATTTTCCCACCTGATGCAATCTCTGTGGATCCTAAATTCTGCTGCCTAGTGCCTTTCTAAATTCTGCTTCCAATGCCTGCTCTAAATTCTAAAAGTTTTGCCATTTCTAGATTTCCTTCGGTGTGTTCCTAAATTCTAAAAATTCTGCCACATCAGCTCTGTAACCGGCTTTTGCCATATATATTTCATATTTCTTCTGAATGTTCATATTAGTAAAATAAAATTAGCCGCTTTTTCTGAACATTCTAAATGCATTTAGTGATTTTTTAAAATAACAGAAATCCTTAATTAAATCCAAAAATTCTAAAATGAAAAGGAAACATGTTGAAGAAAGAAACTGAGTACATAAAGAAAATTATTCTTCAAAGATATATGCAGTTATGATTATGTAAATTACCCAATTGTTTATGATTTAAGCCCTTACTATAATTTCCCATTTCTATTTCCTGATATGATAGAGTTACTGAGCCAGATTAAATTAAAATTAAATTGTATAATCTTTGACCACTAATCCACATTATTAGTTTGAATTTGACTGTTCTTGATTAATTACGTCACCGTGAGCTGTAATTGGTTTTGTTAGCATCAGAACATGCCTTTATGTTCTAAGTTCTTTTTAAATAAGAGGTTTAGTTAAACCTTTGTCTGATATTGTAGTTACTTTCAGACATAGCAATAATATGCTTCATGTCTGTCGGGGGGTTTTGGACTATATAACTTTTACCAAATCAAGTAAACCCTCATAAGTACATTGTAGAGAGGTTGACAATTCAGGAGATAAAGCACGCAGAAACTAGCGAGAGCATTGGTTTGCATATTGAGACAAATCTTTAATTGTTAGAAAATATGTTTAAAGAGAAGGAACTCGATATAAACTAGCCAAAATGTCCGGGAAGGCTTCAAATTAAAATTACGAATAAATATTTTGTTGAGTGTTGTTGTAACAAAACATAATATTACAAAACATAAATGTTTTGTAACAAATGTTTAAAAACTACAAAATGTTTAAATGTTTACAAATGTAATAAATGTTTAAAGCTTGTTTTGTAGCTTTTAATGTGTAATTATCCTAATATCATTTAAGAATCAATGTCATAAATTACATGTATTTTAAACTGTGAAATTTTATTAGATTTTGATTTTAATAGGGCTTTTTTGTTAAAAAATAAAATTTAATAGTGGTCATGTAAATCCATAATGACTACCTGACGCGCAACCCCTTCACTCTCCAGGTAGTCATCGACGATGTCAACTCTATGGGGGCGTGCGTTATCGTCCATTAAAACAAAAGTAGGGCCAACTGCTGCAGCGTAATATCTCACAATGGGTTCTAGGACTTCATCTGGATACCGGACAGCCATCAAAGAACCCCGTTTAAAGATCTGCAGGTCGGTGCGGTATCCCAATGAAATCCCTGCCCACACCATAATGCTTCCCCCTTGGAATGCGTGATGTTCGTTGATGTTTTGGGACTGATTGCGTATTCGTTGTTCACGCCATATCCTTATACGCTTGTCATCTGGCTCCAGAGCAAATCTTGACTCATCAGTAAACATGACATTGCCTCAGTCAAACACATTCCAATTGACATGTTCCCGGCATCACTGTAATTGTGCCCCTCTTGATTGGACGGATAGAGGAACACAAACTCGAGGTACCCGGACGTACAGTCCACTCATATGTCATCTTCGGCGTACAGTAACTGCATATATCGCCTTACCAATGGACGCTGTAACCATAGATGTCACACGTGTGGAGGTCACTCTGCGATTCCGCTTGGCTACAATAGCAATATATCGATCTTCCGCGGGGGGTTGTAACCCTTAAGCGACCGGCTATGGGCCTTCGGACAACTGTTTGTGTGGTTTGGAATTGTTTCCATAAACGTGAAATTACAGAATGATGAACGCCTTAAGAAAAGAGCAACATCTGTGATCGACTGTCCTGCTTCAATGTCTCCCACAGCACCCCAGCGCTCGGAATCTTCCATTCGTCTACTGGAAGGTCATAGAAACACGTATGTCTTGAAAACAGATTGTACGAAAGTTTTAAACACCTTCTATCAGCACTTATAATCAACTTCTGTAACCGTTCATAAAGCTGGCTTCTTATGAGCTGCGTTTTTTGCATATTTCTTGACGTGAAAGCGCGATTGGCTGTTACCTAACATATTTGCATACTTCCATCTACCTTTGCAGTGAATTGCATCCTCTTCAATTCTGATTGGCTTCCGGAAATTAGCATTTTCCTCTCCGTGCTTAACTTTTGGAAGTGAATGTAATACAAAACATCTTATAACCTCTGGGGCTTTAATGCCCTATTGGAACCTTAAAGTATATTAACTGGGTTACTACCCCTCGAACTTTACACAAAGCTACGACACTAACTGCATCAAACAGAGCCTAACTAACTTTCAAAATTGCCAACCATGCCTACATCAGGCCTTTCAGGTTTGTTTTAATTAGCAGGTCTCTCTCTAGACAAGCAGCAGCAGTGACAACATTCAGTCTTTTGTTATGAATCATGCTGGTTATGATCTTACTTCTCATTTTAACCTATGCAGTTTGACATAAATACCTGCTACTAAACCTCTAGACTGACCAAGTATGTGACAAAATGAGACATAAAAAAATCAACATAAAGCTAACTGTTAGTAAAACTTAAATGCCACTTATCTTCTTTCAAATATGGCCAACTATTATAAGTGTAAAATATTTAATGCTACTTGATAAATTGCATACAGTTTATTTTATTCTCAAACTTATTATGTTCATTAATTCATGTTTAGTAATAATGCATACTACTTAGGGGATCTATTTTATTTTTAGGATGGTGTTACAAAAGTGAAATTCAGGCATAGATAATATTTTTAATTGAATTTATTCAGTTCCCTTTTGCTCATAGGTCCTTAATTTTTTTTTCATTAATGGTCCTTAAAAGTACTTAATTTCCGTGTGCAGAAATGTGTATGAACCCTGTCTTATATTTATGTTATATTGCATATTTTATCTGTTGCACATAAAAGAATAAGAAAATTTTGTGAGAGTTCCATTAAATAGCTAATAAATTTAAATTAACCATATTTATTCAAATTTGTTTTTATGTAATACGTGTATTTTCTGTTTAAAATTTTTCTTTGTTATAATATATGTATATATATTTATGTTATGTCAGGTACTATTTCAACATCATATAAAGTGGATCAGCATCATAAATTGGGGCCTGTTGACTATACCAGATATGTCAAACGGTAAGTGCTTTCATTCTGAAAGTGTTCATTGTTATTCAAAATTTACCTGTTGTGTTGTTTAGCTGTAAATAATAATTATTTTACTTTTTAGGTTTTCCAGTGCAACTGAATGTGGCAGTAGCTATTGCAAAGACTTAAATTATCGAGAACATTTTCATTGTTTGGACTGTAATTCGAGAGTAAGTGTCTTTGCTATTAATGCTGCCAAAAAAATGCACTTTTGAAAATGAGTAAAATAATCTTTTATAAATTCCATTGTTGTTTACATTTTTTAAATGTCTATTGATATGACAGTTAATAAATTTTAAAGGTATACTTTCATTTATATTTAAATGCAGGTAAAATAATTTCAGTACTCATTGTTTCAGCAAGACATAATTATCATATTTTCTTGTTTATTTTTATGTGTTTGAAAAAGTTTATTCTGCCTGTCATGTAATGAAACTTTTTCTTACTATTCATCACAGTTTTATTATATTTGTAGATTTTAACTGAATTAAACAAAAAATAGAATGCTTTTGTTTAGAATATATAAATTTTGTTATAGTGGAATGTTTCTCTGTCATACAATTTTCATAGTTTAAACTTCATTTAATGTAAATATGATGTATATCTTAGAAGGTGCCATGGTAAATTTTAAATATCAGATATGAGAACATTAGGTAATTACATTTTCTATCCCCAAGAATAAGATATGTTACTTATAGTTTGATTAATTTTAATAAGAAATTAGATATTATAAAGTCTAATTACACTGTCAAATTTTTAGGTTTTTGTAAAGAAAGAAGAAATGATTCGCCACTTTAAATGGCATAAGAAAAGAGATGATTCGCTTCAACATGGTTTCATGCGTTATAGTCCTATGGATGATTGCTCAGACAGATTTAGGGGCTGTTCTCACAACCGAAAGCAAACCCATTATCATTGCCTTAAGGTTAATATTTTAAAATTTTTTACTTGCTTTTTTTTTTTTTTTTTTTCCCCTCCTATGAAAATGACTTTCAGTATACATTTCGTACAGCTATAATATGACCATATTTTATTTTATGCCATGTGATCTATGCAGAGAAGGGGGAAAATTTAAATTGAAGTTATCGAACTTTAAAGATATACTTTAAAGAAAGTTTAATTTTTTTAATTTATTTTTTTATAAGTGTGAATCTATTTGGACTGAAACAAATGGTAAAACCTTTAGCATTTTAATTTTCATGTCATATTTGAAAAAGCTTAATAATGAGTTGTAACAGGATAGTGTCAGCTTTATAAAGCATATTGAAATAACTATAAACCTCCAAGGTTTATGGATGTAGAATTCCATACAAAAAGGTGGCTTTCCAATTTGTTACACACAAAAATATCTGACAGATCCTGATGTATCCGATCTTGGATTCGATGTATATCGGAGGAAAAGAAGTCAGTGTACAAAATGAGAGTCATTTTGCAATTATAATCCAGAAAATATCACTTATTCATGACATTTTGAAGAACTTTGAAATTTCACGGCCAAACCCATAATGCTTAGAGGATTGAGAAAAGAGAGCAGTCTAAAGGTAACAAATTTTGCTGAACATGTAGTCCAAGAAAATAAATTTTTTACTACACTGCTTTACAGTAATTCTGAAAAGTATGATCTGTAGAATAGCTAATCTTAGAGAGCTATGTCGCATAATTTTGTTTTTAAATTATTACAGTCAAATACTGGAAATCCACAGCCCTGAAATCCTCCACCGTCTGAAAACCACACAAGCTCTCAAAATGAAACCATTTAGTTTACAGGTTCAGGAAACCGCAACATTGAGAAAGAAATACCGAAGAAAATGGAAATACCAAACATGATAATGGAAATATTTACAAAATCTTTGGCATCATGACAAAAGTTCTTCCCCTCAAATCTGCATCAAGGTAAAGAAGCATATGATTTCACTCAACTTCTCTTTCAAGTTCACGACTCATATGTTGTATTTCTTGAGCTTTGTTATTTCACTAGATTGTTTTAGTGCTGCCGTTTTGTCATTTTATCCTGATTTTTTGCAGATAAAGTTAAAAAGTATACTTAATTTCAACACTTCTTAATACAATGGCAGATAAAAAACATGTTGCATTGATGGTAATGCCAAAAGCGGAAATTTTGCAAAAGCTGGAGGAAGGTGTTTCTCCTCAGTTTATAGCAGAATTGTATGAAATTGTGACATGGACGGTATATAATATATGGAAAAATAAAGAAATTTTACAGCAACAGTGATTCCAAAACAGGAAATCTTTGTACAAGGAGAAATTGGCAAACCTCAATGCTGTCTTTGTACGAGTGGTTCCAGCAGCAGTGGAGTGATGGGGTACAAGTTTCAGGACCACTCCTGGAAAAGGGAAAACAGACAGATTCACACCAATTTAAAAATAGAAGAGGCGTGTGATTTCAGCAGCATTTGGTTGAACATATTTAAACAGAGACATGGTGTAAGTTATTTGAAAGCCTATGGGGCAAAACTTTTTCAGCAAATAGAGATGCTGCAAAGGAATCTATTCATGAATTTTCTGTGGGTAGAAGAAAATCTTAGTCCAGAACAGAATTTTAATATGGATGAGACTAGACGTTTTTGGTGAATTCTGCTTTACTTTGTGATTATTAAAAAAAATTAACCGTCAAAGATTGCATCTATCTCTTAGCAGAATCATGGAATTTTGTTTCCCTTACAACATTAGTAAATCGCTGGCGTAATATTTGACCATCTTCTCTGCGTATTGAAACTGAGACCGATGACAGTGAATTTTTGTGGTTTTAGGGTCTAGGCAGCAAAAGTTAAAGCAAGAGCTTCTGTATTAAAAAAAAAAAAAAGAACAAATGAGGAGGCTTCGCAAGAAGAAGATATAGTTGAATGGAGGATGGGTCCAAAATGAGCCAACACTGGCATGTTAGATGACTGACGATAAAATTATTGGCTCTGTTTTATTTTATAATATTTTTTAATGAAAATTTTGAAGATGGTGAAAAATACCTAAATTTTTTTTAAACAAAAGAGCTGTGTCACAGAGCAAGAGATTATGACTCTATATAATTAACCCCCCCCCTCAAAAAAAAGTTGGAGCACTGAAGTTTTAAAACAGACCTCTATCAGAAAAATGTTTGAAACATGCTGTATTAATATCCATTATTTTATATGTCTTTATTGTATATGTCCTAAATGTTTTTATATGTTCTGTGTCATGTATGACCTTATTTGTTCTGCACTTTTGATCTAAATGTTATGATTTACCTTTTCTGTCCTGAAATCTGCACAGCCTCTGTTCCCAAGCATTGAAAAGTTTTGATCTTTTACTCTATTTTGTTTTCTAGTTATTTTGCAAAATGTATATTTTTTATTTCTTTATTGTTATAGGAAAGTTGTGACAAAGTATATATAAGTACATCAGATGTACAGATGCATGCAAATTACCATAGAAAAGATACAGCTATTATTCAAGAAGGCTTCCAAAGATTTCGTGCAACAGAAAACTGTGCTACTGCCACTTGTTTGTTTTTTGGTCAACGAACAACACATTTTCACTGTCGAAGATCAGGATGCAGTTTTACCTTTAAAAATAAAGCAGATATGGGTAATAATGTTAACTCAGTTTACTTTTGGGTGATTTAAATTCCATGTAAGTGTTTGCTTTATAGTTTTTCTCTAATTCTTTATGTATTTTATAGAAAAGCATAAAACTTATCACATTAAGGATGAGCAACTGAACAAAGATGGATTCAAAAAATTTATGAAGCATGAACATTGTACATTTGAGAATTGTCGCTTTTCACGTGTGTGTAATCATATTCATTGCATTCGACCAGGTATGCTAAATATATTATGTAGTTTAATTGGTTATTCAATAGAGAAAAATTATTGAACTGAGATATTTTACTTTTACAGGTTGTACATATGTTTTACATTCAAGTGGTCAGCTTTATTCACACAAAAGGAAACATGAAAGACGGGATACGGAACTAGCATACCGAAAATTCAAGCTTGCTCAAAGTATGATGAAAACACTGACTGAAGCTGGTAGCCTGTCTCAAACATTTCTTCCTGAACCAGTAAGTTAGCATTGTTTCTTGCTGTTATGGGTAAATTTATTATGCACTGGTAATAGGTGATTTTAACATGAGAAACATCTTTAGCAGAGCCTTTCTTTCAAAATGCTTACTCAAGTATATTAGGTTGTGATTATATTATATTATATTTGCACTTATCATGCATATGATTTGTCAAGTGTTGCCACTGAACTGGCATAAAATCTTTAATTTCCACATGGTCTAAGAAACGGTCTGAGCCTTCTAAATTCAATAAACACATTTCTTAATAATTTAAATCTTTCTTTATTTTTGTATCTATCTAACTGATATTACTTAAATTGCATGCATTTATAATATATCTAACTGATAATCTTGAATATATGCAGATTTAACTAAAATAACATGCCAAAGAACATTAAAGATAATATAGCAATAAGACTCAGTGCACGTTACATAAATTTCCAGTATTAGTTCTGAAAGTTAAAAAGAGCATTCTTCAGCTTTGGGAGGGAAAATTATGAAAGAGAAGCTTGTGCTCGCATGATAACGATAGACAAAAACCTCAAGAGGGTTCCAGCTAAGGAAACAGAAACAAAGTAACAGGTGCCATCTATTGTCAAAAAGTGGAAACAACTGTGGAATAATTTCTTGAAAAGCTGAAATTAAAGATGGATTAGAATTAGGATTGTTAACTAGAACTGAAATATTTTTATGAATATATTTCCATGATATATTTATATGGGAAACAGCTGTTGTATGATGTCAGGATCATTTATTTGGGGGGCAGTACTGCATGGTATATCATCTGTTTTATGTGTAACTCTTTCCAATATATAAATGAATACATTGTCAATTTAAATAGGGGAAGAGTAGCATAATAAAAAAAGTACTAAATAATAAAAGAGATAATAAACTATGTGATTATGTACATTATAAATTCATTTGTAATCAGATTTTAGTATTTGTTCATGGAAATAGAATATCAAATTGCTTGATTATCTTTTGAGTAGCTCTAATAAATGCTCAAGTCTTCATATAGGAAAATGAAGGGGTAGAATGAAATAGCATTGCATTTATTATGTGCCCAAGATAGTGCTGAGAGACTGCTAAAAAAGCAGAATTTTAAAGAGCAACTACTTTAAGAAACTGAAGGAATGAATATGGGTACAGTTTATAAAGTTGTTTATGTGGCCTGAGAGGGGCTCTTTGATAGGTAAATAAGAAAATTAGGCTTCTAAAGCTTCATGACTAACAAGCTAGAAATTGAAATGTCAAGAATTGTGAAGAAAGTGAGTAAAGGAAGGGGCCATTGTTTCCTGTACTGCAAAGATACCAAAGATGCATCTGATAAGATGGAAAATGATGAGAGGCAAAAATCATACAGTAGAAGTAAAGAAATCCACAAAGCTTGGGACCAGAGGTTGTGCGGATTTCAGGACAGAAAAGATAAGTCATAATATTCAGACTAAAAGTGCAAAATAAATAAGGCATATTAGATACATTTAATTAAATTATTATATACATTATTGCAATAACTTATTATATGCATTAAATTATTATTACATATGTAAACTGATTATGTTATTCAATTATTCATTGTATTATCTATACACAGCATCGAGGTTTGCTGATTTCACCTCATGCAAAGATTTCTGGTTTTGGATTCCAGTGCTAGAATCACTGTTGCTGTAAAATTTCAACAGCTTTTCTTTATTTTTCCGTGTATCATAAACAATCATATCGCAATTCCATACGATTCTGCTATAAAATGCACCTGTCTCCATCTTTTGCAGAATTTGGATTTTTTGCATTACCGTCAATGCAATGTGTTTACGTTTTTCAACATTGCAAGCAGAAAAATCATGAGTGCATTTCTTATCTGTAATTGTATTAAAAGTACTGAAATTAAAAATGTTCTTAATTTATTCACAAAATATCCGGATAAAAAAAAAGGCAGCACTAAATAATCTTGTGAAATAACAAAAATTTGAAAATACAATAACGTGAATCATGAATCATCTGCTTTCTTACCTTGATGCAGATTATAGGGAAAAAAACTTTTATCATGATGTCAATAATTTGATATTTCCATTATGACTCATTGTTATTCTGTAATTATGACATCATTATTTTGGTAAGTATTTTTTGTTCGATATTTCATACTCAATGCTGCGGTTTCCGAAACCTATAAACTGAATGTTTATATTTTGAGAGGCAACGTGAATTTCAGGAGTTGGCAGATTTCAAGTCGGCGGATTTTCGGTGTTTGACTATCACCCAAAAAATATTTAGAAGTGAGCAAGTTCAGCTGCTTATGAAATTGTGGTCTCTAAAGCATATGGATAGCAAATGGTCTGACCAAATTATCTGGAATGATTTGGTAATTAAGTACTTCTGAAAAATTTGCAGTATCACAGTTAAGTCCAGTGCTGAAGAAATTATCATAAAGTTTAGAAGTGTGGAGTGTCAATTTTCAAGTCGTCATGGATCAGTTTGTTTTTAATCAGGTAATGAGCGTTTACAATTCTCACAGTCTTATTCTGTACTACCTGAAGTGTGTAGAAGTTTGCATTTGAGACTGAAATCTAGGCTGGAACTATATAACATACAGTTGGCTTTATAATGAATAGGTAAATCCTTATGCTCTTCTTGAGAGACAATCCAGAGTAGCTTTCAAGGAGTACAGAAATTTGGTTGGCGATACCATCTATTATGTACTTACTATGGCAAATCCATGTGAGCCTATGGTTAGTGATAATCCCAGATAACTGACATTATTTTACATGGTTCACAGTTCCCACAAAATAAGGAGGAATGAGTTACTGTGTTATTAACTTGCAGTATGGACCAAACAATTAAAAAGACAGCACCGGTTATTGACAAAAGTTGGAAACCTCGATGTTTGAATGGAGTCAAAAATGTACCTCTAACTTACCATAGCAAGAAGAACTTGTGAATAACAATTACAGTACAAAGTCCGTAATGCGGACTTTTCGGGACTTCAGCGATTCCGGATTATAGATGATCAATTTAAATCTGGTGAGATGGCATGCAGAAATTATACAATTAAAAATATGAAACTGTAATTTATGAAATAAAGAGCAGTTATGATCTAAAGGGTATCAAAATTTACAAAAAAAAAGGAGCTTAATATTTATTTGTTTACTTTATTAAACATTTCTTTCAATGTAAGTTGTTTAAGTTGCTTTGTTTTTTGTGCTAAACGTGTATGCATAAACATTAAACGCGCATGCGTAAAGCATATAAAAAAAGTTTGAAGTCCATATTATAGATCATTCCGTATTATAGATTATAGTCCGTATTATAGATAATGGACGTCCCGATTACAGACTTTGTACTGTATTAGTTTTTTACTGATTTTCCTTTGAAATGGGATTACCTCTGGACAGACATCTTGGAAACTGGAACAGACATCTTTAACATTGGATAATGGAACAGACATTGATAAATTGGCAATGGATCTTGAACAGACATCTTGGAAAAAGAGTCCTTTATTCAGTCCATATATACAGATGGCATGCCAAAAAAAATCGTCCAAATGGATTTGACAATGATCAAAATGGATAATTCAGTTGCTGAAATGTGATACCGGAAATTTTTCGTAATTATAATACTTCCTTTACTTCATACAAGGAAGCAAAAATAAGTTTTGTAAAACTATTGTTGAACAGTATGAAACAAATGAGGAAGGAATAATTATTTGTAACAGATAAAACTTCATCAAGGATGTAATTATGAAAGTATTTTTGTAAAAAAATTAAAAAGGAATTTCAAAATTGCATAAGTAGTAAAAAATTTAACATTTTATATTATTTTAGGATTAGTTATTGAAATTGTTGGCTAGTTATTGAATTGTTAATTATTGAATTGTTAGCTATTAATTCCCTTAAAAAGTTGTAACAGATAAAGTTTTAAACTGATATGATGTGCAACATACAAATTGCCATCTATCATCAAATATTTTTAAATGTTGCTTTATAAACTCAAATATGTTTGGAGCGAAAATGATTTAATAAGCGGCGGATACTGTATAAATATTTCGATGCTGATAGATGTTAAGATTCTTATTATTATAAATAATTTTATATGAAAACAAACTTCTATTAATATAAAAATTAAAATACGTGTATGAAACTATGTATGAAAGTTATATATGAAAACAAGCTTCCATTAATATATGGTTTTAATAAAAGTTTCACAAAAATATGATTTGATATGGCCATTAATCCATTCTTTCAGAAGAGTCTGGGAGGGAAAAAAATGTTTTACCAAACATATATGAACATAAATGCATTCTGTCAGAAAGAATTGCAATAAAATATTTTGTTTATAATGTATTGGTCATCTTTGATGCCACAGAATTAATTTTCATAATTTTTTAAGTGCCAAAAAGTGTGAGAAAGAATTGTTATAAAATATTTTGTTTATAATGTATCAGTCATCTTTGACGTTGTAGAATTAATTTTTATAATTTTTTGTAAGTGCCAAAAAATTACGTTAATTATACATAACCGTTATTTATTTATTTCCCCCCTGAAGCCTTCTTCTGGAGAATCATCCTCAAGTCCAGCTCCTGGTTCTATGCCTCCTACATCTATGTCTTCATCTGGTCACTTCAATAGTTTCATTTCTGATGATGGATCCTTATCAAATTGTTATCCTTCTAAGACTGATAAAAAGGAATGCATATATAGCATAGCTGATATGAATAATATCCATGGCCAACACTATGCATCTGTAACCAATGAAAATACTTTAACATCATCATCATGTATTAGTGGAGATAATACTAACATGCCAGAAGAAAGCTCAGCTGTTGACTTAAGTGTAGATCATGCTAAAGATTCTGAAGATCTGTGGAAAGTTTACTTAACAAGGTATTCCTAAATATTGTGATTCATAAAATACATGTAATGCAAATCATTATTTGAAATGACAAGGAAGAAATATTTTATAGGGTACAAAATTAAATGTGTCTTTTTACATATTTACAGGTTTGGAGCAAATGATGTGTGCCAGCAACAGTGTGAATTTCTATATAAGGATCATTACCACTGTGCAACTGACAACTGTAGTATGACATTCAGAGCAAAAGATATCTTAGGTGTCAGAGAGCATGCATGGTAAGATTGTTTACTAGTTTAGTTACATTTTTAATGTTTTTATTAAACTTTTTAGTGTATGGAAATGTTAACCTAAAAGTTAAATTACTTGTTTAGCTGAAGATATTTTTCATATTTGCGCAATCTGAATGTCTTACTTGCATTTAATTAGTCTTTTGGTTTTACACAATTGCCAAAATGTAGTAGTACATCTAATATTTTCACAATTGTTAAATTTTATGTAATCTGAATAAATGCTTTTTTACTGTTACTTCTATTTTGCATTTCTTAAAAAAAAATGTAAAGTTGTGCACACCGTTGCAAGGCTTAAATTATATATTTGTATAACTGATTAAGGTAAGTCTAGAATAAAACAACCCTGAAATTCATTAACACCCATTGAGATCCAAATAATTCATTATGGTGTGAAGATCACAGTTCCTGTAACTTCACCAGTTCATGATTGATTTAATAACAGGTATGAAATTTGTTTTAAAATATGCATACTGTGAGAACAGGTGATGCAAAGAATTTGGATTTATATGTAGGTAAGTTCATATAAATTTCGTCTACCACCATTGTTTATTCAGTACACCTCTTCTTTACTGTCTGGTGCTTCTTGAAAGTTAAGACTCAAGGGGATAAGCATTAAAAAGTAATAAAATGAAATCTTGAAGAGCGTAACAGTAGGAAGTTCAAGGGCTTAAAACACTACAGTATTCATACTTTAACATTTAATTTTACACATTTCTGCTTTTAATTTCATATTATTCAAATTAACATCAAAATTATATATTAAATATTCCTTAACACGGTGTGCACAGGTATTCTTTGAAATTTCTTGGATTTCCCACAGTTATAATTGATAAATTGGCAATTTCAAAACATAATAGCTTTTCTTTTTGTATGCCAGTATTCTTTGCTAATTTTCCGTGTAAAATGAAAGATAGTTATTGATTTCCGTATCCTTTTCAGCAATCATGAATACCAGGAACAAGTAACCAAATCTTTCTACACTGTAGTTGAAATCGATCAAAATGGTGCTTGTCCCCCAGACTGTCATTATAAAGCCAAAGAAAAACACTACCATTGCAAATGGGTAAGGCATCAATTTAATAATAATTTATAGTAATTTTACTATTCAAGAAGTCACCTGTCATTCCTCTTGCTTTCATTAAAATAGTTTTTGAAAGTATTTTACTGTTGTTTGCAATACCTTTTTGGAAAATACATTTGTTATCAAATGCTGCTGGTTTCTAAACTATATGACAACCATTCATTTTGAGAAGAATCATATCTTTAAGTCAAGCATGTGGCTGCTCACTGAATCAATCAGGAGGTAATTGAACTTAATACTGAACCTCGATGTGATATATATTACACAAAGGAGGACACAGAAAAGTGCTGCTTTATGTTAACTTCTATAATCAGATCAGCATGTATGCGGTAATTAATGTTTAACTTTTGTTAGATGCCTAGAATAGGTTTCCTTTTTAAGTGTATTGTGAAAATTAACTATCAAAATTATTGAGAAAGAAAGAGTGTGACTTCTGCTAAAATAACAAATATACAAGGATTGAGTTGTTTGTAAGAATGTCAAAGGTATTTGGATTCTGTGTAGCAATGAGTACTTGCTAAGTGTCATAAAACAAGTCTATTTTATAATGAGTGAAATATTGCCATTAAGTTATTGACCTGGGTTTGAAGGTGATATAGGAATTAAAAAAAAAGTGCAGAATAATATCCTTAATTACATTCTGTTGCATAAAGGTTTATATAATGCATCAAAGGTAAGTGGAAACAGATTTTTTAATGTATTACTCATCATTTTGTAATGGAATTTTTTGTATTTACTGTATGCAGTTACAAGGTTGGTAATTATACAGGATTTCTTATTTTGGTCATTTTTCTTAGGTTTTTCTGAAAGTGGTAAGTTTCATACTCAGACATCTATATGCAGCTTCTTTATCTACTTTGAATGTTGTTATCAATTTATGCACTTCCATGACATCTTATTACTTGGAAATAATTTTTTAGTTAAGTAGTACCTAATCTGATTTTAGGAAAATTGTCAAGAAGTCATCAGCAGCGATGACAATCCTTTCAGAAGACTTGATCATTATAAAATACATAAGTATTCTCGAAAGCTAAGTGCTCAGAAAGAACATCCACCTAGTTCAAGTTGTGTGACGTCTGTCATGGACAGCATGTTTCGGAGGAAGAGAGGCCGTCCACCAAAGAATCGACTTATTGAGGTATTTGTTTATATTTTCTTAATGTAGGTTTGTTTCATATTTCTGTTTTGAGTCCCTTGCAGAAAGCCTTAATGTTTTCTGTTCTAAATGTTTGAATATGAACTTGTTTTAAAAATAAATTGCTTCTGTGTTCAATTCCTAAATTACTTAAAAGGTTACTGAAGAAGTTTATAAATTATGTACTGTTGGTGAATTTAATGTGTTTTATTATTTCTTATTTTAAATAATCTCTGTAACCATCTAACCCCCCCGGGGGTTGACTCAGGCGAACACCTGGGCAGTACTGTACCTAGGCAGTCTCAACCATGGGGGCATAATAGCAGACTTCACAGAAGGCCTGAGAGCTCTCAGGACAGAGTAGGGCTCAGTAGGGACCGCACAGGTGCCTTGCTCTGCCCTTGCTCTGTGGGGTCACAACATTGTGGATTGATCAAGGGTGGGGCGGCACTTAATTCCGATAGGCATCTATTGGGTCACATTAGGATGTAAGCCATCTCGTTCCATCAGAGTTGTAACCATCTAATATAAGTGACTTACTGAATTCCATAATCAGATAAGAAAGAAGTATAACTAAATCTACCAATTCAAAATTTCATATTTTTGCAAATTATATTGCATTATTTTTGGTGTTCTTAGACAGTCCTTTTGTACACATGGTGAATAAGCACTTTATGATTTTGAAACCTGTATATCCAACAAAAGGTGTAGCGGAAGTGTGTAGGAAAAAGAGGATTGGAATGGTGGAACTATTAAATGGTTAAAGCATGACTGAGTTCTTGAGAAAATTCTTTAGTTCATTAATTTTATTAACTCATTATAATCTGACATGTTGTATGTAAGTGGATAAATCTTGAGAATGCTTCTTGAGATTATCTACACTTTTTTGTATGTTCTGAAGACATATTTCCTGTTTACAAGATGCTTATTTCACATGTTATATGTATGTGGATAAATCTTGATAATTGCTTTTTGAGTTTTATCTGCGCTCTGTTAGATGTTCCTAAGCTATGTTTTCTGTTTATAAGATACTTTGACAATTATCATCAGCATTCATGCTCTGAAGAAGAGGTTTAAAGTGTTCAGATTTAATGTAGTGCTTATCAGTCTACATCATCTACTTATAATCTACTGAGACATGCCAGTCTGTTGCAGTTGATTATGTTTGGAATTATATATTTATCATGTATTGTCTTATTGCAGACATAAAAAATTATAAAGTTTTTACTGTAATGGGAAATGTCTCTGGTGAGAACTATAATTCTGCATTGTAGATTACTTATGCCCAGCAGCATTATTTGTTATGACCTTTGTTAACATTCAGTAAGTAATACATAGTATATTGAGTTATGGCTATTACACAACTGTAACTTCTACAGTATGACTAGAGAAGCCCATCATCATGTAATGCTGGTGTGTGTGTCAAGGGATCAGTTTTGTCAATTGGAATAAGTACATCATACAATCAGTTCACTGTTTGCATTGTTGTTTAAGTCATCCACCCATGGCTTAAGAAAAGCTAACAAATAATACGCCAACAGGGAAGTCTCAGTACTGTTCATTATCATCAGTGTTATCAACCAGGAGGTGAAAATTAAAAATGAATGTCCTATTTTGGGGGATTAGTAATGTTTTGTAAGGCTCTCAATATTTTAAAAAGTCATAAAATTGTAAATTATAGTTATACGTAGTCAATAAGCATTTAAAATAAAATTTCATGAAATAACTTTTTATTAGACAGAATGGTAGTGTTATTCTTCCAGATAATTTGAACAAGTACCCCCGTATATATTCAATTACACTTGTAATGTTTCATGTAGCAAGTTTAATTCGATTCTTTTACGGAATTCTTACACAGGATTTTTAATTGCTAAATCTCCTCAAATGTTATATCCTGATCTTGAGTGTATATTTTCAAATCGTGAATGAAGATTTTTTTCTGTGTTAGAATATTTTTGCACCTACAATTCTTGGAAAAATTGTGGAATATTCATACAAGCTATAATTAATAATCTTGGGAATTTATAAATGTGATAATCCGCTATGCTTTAGTAAACTAGAGGTGAACTGTCATGTGAATATTCATATTAAGATCTTAAGAATTTGCCAAAGTTTTGACTCTTAGCTTGAACTGAACGTCTGTCAAGTTGTACATGTTCTTTTTATCTGAACGTTCTTGGAATGTGATTACCATAAGAATGCATTTTATCAGCTTAACTAAAATATACATTTTAGTACATTTCTTCCTGGGATGTTTTTTTCATTGTATTCTATGATATTGGGAATCATCTGTAAAAGCTCTGTGATTCTTGCAGATACCTCATTTAAAGAGTTTAATAGGTGTAATATATATATTATATTGAGATAATTAATTATTTTCACATTTCAGTTTCCAATGGGTACCTCTCATCTACCTCAAGCAATATATACAAGCTTTAAACTTCCAAAGCCATCAGAACTTTCTCATAACTTTCCTACATCATATGGACCATTTACATCTGCCTACAATGCAGTGTCTCTCTTACCTCCACCACCTGTTACAATGATGTCAACTCCTTCCAGTATTCCACAGTTAATTCCAGTAACTGGTCTTGGACAATGTATTTTCCCTTCGCCTAATTTGCTAGAAATTCCTCCTCCTCCACATCTAGAAAAACAAGAAAATAGTCCTGTTTCATCATCTCCTTCAGAAAATCAAGATTTTCATGAGCAAACAAAGCCAGAGGTAAGTTTCTGAAAAATTATATTAAGAATTGTTGTATGCTTATCCTGTGATGTATGTACAAACTATGGCATTGTTTTAATTTGGCTTAACATCATATATAGTTTTAATGAAATCCTGGTTCCTTGATAAATTCATAATTGTGTAAATAAGATGTACGTTTTACAAACTATTCCATAATGTTTGGCTTGAGTATTGAAGTTATTTATTATACATAATAGTATTCAGTAGCTCTAAGAACTTAATGTGAATTTCTTAAATAGTTTAAAATGCCGAAAGTCGGCCGTCTTCAAAATATTCCATTTGTGGGATGATTACTTTTACTATCACTCATGCAGTTTCCACAGTTAATTCCAGTAGCTGATCTTGGACAATGTATTTTCCCTTCGCCTAATTTGCTAGAAATTCTTTGCTCTAAGCCATCTTTTGCAGTTATCTGAAATGCTATCTTTGTTGCTGCTGCTTGTTAACTCATTTCTTGATACAGAAAGCTTCCTTGCCGATTTGTTTCGTCAATGGAAGGAAACAAAAATTGCTAGGAGCTATAAGAGGAAAAGACAGGATATGGATTCATCTTAGCCCCATTTCTGACAAAAAGCTTTGTGACCCTTAATCTTTATTGTGTGTTCTCTTTGTCGCGGGAGAGGTACTATTATCTACATTACTACATTTTAGGCTGTTTTAAGAAAAATGAATAATAGATGAATGAAGGAGCAGGACATACAGAATGTTTCTAAAAATTAATGAAAAGGGTTTTTAAAGGGTGGTATGAAACACAAAAGTGAACACTATATCACAGGATGCAAAGCTGGATGTTAATGATTAAGGTTGAAGGGAGCTTTTATAATTTCTGTACTTTTTCATAGTTTGCTTGTATGTACTACCTTGTTGTGGTGTGACTTTGCTACTTAATTGATGGCTTTTGCAGTCAGCTTTTAATTCATAGTAGCGTTAAAGCTCTCTCAATCAATTCAACTGATATTTGGTTAAGAGACAATTTAATTTCAAAACCAGTGATCTTTGACGTCATATTCAATTTGTATTGACCTTCTAGCCTCCCCACTCCCCCCCAAAAAAACACTATATTGATCAATAAGTTTCACAGTACTGTGCATAGAATTGTTCGTCGTGTAATTTCTTAACATCAGAAACCTTTTTCTGAGTGATATTTTATTTTTAGTTACATACAAATGCAGGCATCCTGAATGTGGGTGGTCCCTGAATGTGATTCCTGATTTCTATACCAAATGTCTTGGTCAGTTTTTGTTGTACGGGTGTAAGGCTTTTTGTGTTTTATAATGAGTACAAACTTTTTATGTTTTATAAGGAATACAAAATTTTTCTAAATCTAAGTGTAAGGATTGGAGTAAAATATAAAAAGTTAATTTTGTAAATTTTGAAAATTTTGTTTCTTTAAATTTAAAAGTAACAAACCACAAATCTTTGCATCTTTTAAAACTTTTTTTAAGTGCAAATATATGTCTACAACCAATGGCTGCAAAAAGAAAGGCCAGGTAAGGACTTTTGTGGACAGTGTACAGACCTGTCTACATTAAGAGCGAAACTTTGTTTATTCAGTTTATTTTGCCTTACTTATTTTAAGTACTGCCACAAAAATTTTAGCTGTAAGTTAGTCTATTTGAACTATTAGAAAATAAATTGTCACATTTTGCAGCATTAGGGACAGTATTTTTCCCTACAAAAATCTGAAATCATATGTACAGGGCATGAAAAGGAATGTTAATGATACGAAAACTGAAAAGATAATGCTTCTTTTAATCTTAAATTTAGCAAATTAGATAGTATTTAAATATTTGTTTGGCTAGTTTTTTTAAGTTTCCTTTCCTTCTATAGTTGGTGAACAGGTAAATTTGTTGTGGCAAACTATGATAGGCATTCTGCTATGGAGGTTAGTCAGTCTATAAGATTTTCTAAGTGAATGCATCGCATGTATGCCAAAGATGTAAAATATGAACAAACTTTCAAGTCTATGTCTCATGTCATAGAAACAAATGCTGGGTGAAACTATTTACCATTTATTTGTATAATTAGAAATTTTTCCTTTTCTTTGATAAAAATATGAAATTATCAATTATGATCAAAATTTGGCAAAAACGTAATCGAGGTTTGGTATATATTTTTCAAATAAAATTATCAATTCCGAGGATGATCATACACATCCTGCTTCTACAGAAATAATAAAAAAAAAAATCGCAGAATGGGAAAGCTGTGAGTGGAGTAAAGCGAGCATGAATGCATCATCTTTATCCAGGAAAATAATAACAGAAATGGGAAAAATTAGGATTTTAGAATTCTGAATACTTAAGGAAGGGCTAGATTGGAATTAATGTCCTTGACTAAAAAAGATGCGAGTGTGAAAACTATCAAGGAAATCTTAGTCGATTAAAAATTGTGAGAAGAGAAAGCAACTTTGCATGTTAAAAAATTGTATTCTGGGTTTGGAATATTTTATATGCACAGTTAAAAGTAAGATTGCAGTTTGGTGTTTCAGTTAGTTACTGCTTTAAAAAACTTTTTAGATCTAATTTTAAAATATGTTTGAAATTCTTTTTAATAAATTGAGTAATCAGGTTATTTAATATTGAAAAGTGATGGTTATCTCTCTTCCTCTTTTTTTTTTTTTAAGAAAGATGCTTTTATGGAAGAATACTTAAAGGAAACTTGTTTTTATTAATTTTTACTCAATTAAAAGTGCTAGACAGACAATTAATTCAACTGCCACGAATAAAAAATATTTTACATTTTAGCATCAATAAAAATCCTCAGTAAATGTATTTGTATAGATTATAAATTTGTTATGAAATATTTTGATAATCTTGTTCTTTTGTAGGTAAAGGAAGGGTTTTATATTTTTCGGGAGAAAATGCCTTGCCCAGACAAATTGTGTACTTTTTATAATCAACATCATTTCCACTGTACACAACCAAGATGTTATTATGTGACTGATAGAAGTGACATACTCCTCCTTCACTCCAAAGATTTTCATGACAATATTGACATCATGGATGGCTTTGTATTCTTTGATCGCAGTGTTGACTGTAGACTGCAAGGTTGTCATAGCAATAAAATAAATCGACATTTTCATTGTGTTCGTGCTAATTGCAATTATTCTTTTGTACGATATAGCACGATGACTGTTCATGAACAGAAGCACAAAGAGCAAAGTGGAAGTAGCAATTATGTTCCTTCATCACCAAAAAAGAAACATTTTTCATCATCTGCTGAAGATTGCCAGGAGTCAAATACTTTTGAAGGTTGCTCATCAGTCATTAAAACAGCTTCATCTGATTCTTCTTCATTGCCTAAAGCTACAGTTGTTAAAGCAGCTGGCACGTTTTACCCTTTGTCTGCATTTTCTACAAGTCAGACATCTTCCCATTGCCCCCAAAGTTCTTCAAATTCATCTCCAGGGCATCAGCAGTATCCCAAACAGACTGAGGAAAAAAACAGCAATAACGATGCCATAAATAACATTCAGAATGAAGCTTCTTATAATCAGAATGTTGATGCTACAGAACAACCACTCAGTAAACTTCTACTGCAACCTGGGCCAAATTATCGAAATAGCTTTCAAGGCACTGAAAAACATATTTTGTACAGTCCACAACAAAGCTGTGGCAGACCCTTTTGCAAATTAAAGAAGCGAGATCACTTTCATTGTAATGTTTGTAATCAAGTAAGCCAATTAATTATTTTTATCATATTTTTCTCATTTGTGCATTTAAATATTTCCTTTTTATGCTGAATAGTGAATTTTTGTGTATTAGTTTCATCAAAATACCTCCATATTTATTGCATTTATGAAATAGCACTCTGACCTTACATTTTTCATTTTTTTTCCTTCTCCTTTTTCATATATGTCTATTTACCTTTAAAGATACGACAGACTGTTATGCCTTAGTAGATAATGGTGTAGAACAGCGATTCTCAAACGATGGTATGTGCACCACTGGTGGTACACAAGAGGAAAATAAAAGAAGCAAAGTACTTTTAACAATAAAATTCAAAAATGTCATGAAGAAAAAGAACAGTTGATAGAAATTTCTTGTAATTGAACTCTAACTAAAGATTTAAAAATTAATACACTTAACTTTTGACTGAATCGAAAAAAAAAATTTAAAGGCATTTCAGAAAGCTATTAAATTTTTGTCTTGTAAATAACAACTTGTCTTTTTGCACAACCTATTTGGATTTTCTTCTGTGTCATATTTGAAAGATAGAATATAGAACAAAATTAAAAGTGGATCTTAATTTATGGTTAGAAGTAAGTGAAATAAGACCAGACATAAAGAAATCGGTCCCACTTAAACACACCCAAATTTCGCACTAAATTTTAGAATTAAAGAATTATAACTTGAATTTTGATAATTGAAATGGTAACCAATTTTTAATCTAATATTTTTTATGTGTGGTATATGGAATTATGGTAAAGCCTTCAGGGCTATCTGCCTCTCTCTCTCCTTTTTTTCTTTTATGTGTGTATATTTACTGCAAATAGCCAAGAGGTTGTGCAAATGGCAAAATATATATATTTTTTAATCTTTCTATTGAGAAATTGAAGAATAATAATTTTTAAATGTAACAAAGTTTTTCAGTTTTTGTTTCAATGATACGCGTTAGTTAAAAGGTTGGTCCGCTGCTGTAAAAGATTTTTCTGTAATCCTTGAAAATTTACTGTATGTTTTACCTTTTTTTTTTTTTTTTTTTTTTTTTTTTTTTTTTTTGTTTGTTTCAAACCTAAGGAATTCTTAATTCCTAACACGATATTTATTCCCTCTAAAGAGATTAAAATTATCATTAAAATATACATAGGCTTTTCTCATTATTGGCAAAAGTATTGTCATGGTTAAATATTGATTAAACTTTGAAGCCCATCCAAGATTTGTCATATAGGTGGTTCAGTGATAAAAAGCTAGCTTTTTTGCATATTGAACAGGGAAGTACCCTATGTGTACTGCTATTTACATGTCAGAATAATTGCAGAATGTTGTAACAGAGGAAGGAGGACTGCTTTAAGACTTTTTTTTTTTTAAATCTCATGGTTGGACACTTACTGATTAAAATACACTAATAGTTTAGAGACTTCATTAGACTTTTACTTCATTAGTTTAGAGATGTTCAGCTGTCAATTAGAGATTTTCAAATGACAGCTGACTACTAAGAGTAACTGACAGTTAGAAATGTTCAACTCGTTCAACTGGTTATACCCAACTAGTTAGTTGTTGGGATAGCAACCAACTATCCCAACAACTAACTTTTGGCAAATCTAATTGAATTTTTTTCTTTTGTAGGACTTTTTTATAACTATAAAATGAAATTGTTTTAAATATTTGAGCTCAGATTAACAATTAATAATGACCAGAATTACCTTTCAAATAATCAAAAATATTAAACTTTCTAATAATGTACTTAAGCTTTGAATTTTTTATGTATTGCTTCTCAAGATGCTTGTGGAATTTTTCACATACGGCAAAAGGAGAAATATTCTAAACAAACGATTGTTGTGAGTATTATTCTGCATTTGATGATAAGTGAATATCATAGCTTGCAGATTATTAAATATTTGGGGATAAGCAGCAAGCTTTATGTGTGAATTATTCTGCTTGTAGATGAAGACAGATTAAGCATTCATTGCAGTTTATGCCCAAACTGACCCATCATTTAGTTGTTGCATCATTGAGAACAACACTTTTCTAGAGGGTGACAATGAAGGCAACCCGTATTGCACTTTGCAAGGGAGGGGAAGTACACCCAAGCCTTGAATGGGAGTTGAATACGCACCCTTTGTCTTGGGCTGAATAAATACCTTGTATTATACATATTTAGTGTGTAGTAAATGACTGTCTTAAAAATAAGTGTTAAAATTAATTTTTCTTTGTTTCTAATATCTCAGAAAATTCACTAATGTATTAAAAAATTTTCAAAAGATACCATAGTGTAAAACTTGATAAAATATTTCATAATCTTCTACGAGGAGTTTTTGTGGTTTTCTATGTTTTTTCATGTCTTCAGTTATTTAAGATAACATTGAGTATTTGCATTTAGAAACTAACTATCAGAGAGGGGGAAAAAGTTATAATTACTTAAGTCTGTTTATTCTCTTAAGTAAGTCTTCTTTCACCATTTTTTTACTTCCCTTGTACGAATCCAAGGAAGTATTGTTATAGAAAATTTTTTTCGGTTATCAGATTTCAATGGAAATATCCATTTTGATCATTCTCAAATCCATTTGGGAGGGTTCCCCCCCCCCCCCCGCTCCCGTGATGTCTATATGCACTGACAGAATAAAACACTCTTATTCCAAAATGGTGTGTAAAATGGATTTAGAATGGATTCAAAATGTGTTTTTTCGTGACATATATATGTACATACCTATCTCATGTAACTCAGAAATGGCTACCCATAACATCTAAATATGCACCTCCCTTTTTTATTCATGTTTTGGCAATGTCAAATTAAAAAAGATGATAATTTTCTACACATAGCAAAATCTTACTTTTATTGCAGTCTCCCGGTTGCTATACTTATATTTGGGACAACTTTATGCTTGTTATGAAAAAACAAACTTATGAGAAGTTTGACTCCTGTATAACAATTTGCAGCTTTTAGTGTCACTTTCAACTTGCCTTGAGGGATCATTTAATTAAGTTTAATTTGAGGAAATAAGTTTAAATGAAGTGCAGCGAAAAATATGTATAATTTAATAGGCCATAGAAGAAAGTCATGGTATCCACATCATGTTTTTAATTAATGTAGTTCAGCTTTGCATGACAAGATTTTTTTATGTATATTTTCTATGTGGCTAAAACCCATTCAAATTTAAGAACATTTTTTTGAAAAATATTTTCAAGTCTGTTTCTGGGGTAAATGTACTGTAAGACTTAATGAATAAAAATAAAATTGTTCATTGCAGTGATGTAAAAAAATATAATAATTCTATGAAAAAGCACAGTAGTTAATAAATGCATATTTATTAAATACCCAGATAATATCGTTGTTATTTTTACTTTATTTTTATCATATTGTTTTTTCCTGTGTTTAAATTATAATAATCTAATGAACAAATGCATTTATTTCATGAACTTTTAAATTGATCATTTAGTCAGAAGAAAATACTGTGTATAGTGACGTCTACACCCTTTTTATGTGTTGAATAGAATTTGCTTTTTTATTAAAACTATTTTATCATAGAAAATGCATGCTTTGTTTTATTGAACTAGGCTTTTTCTGGCTTCTCACGCCTTCAACCTCATATTATGAAACACCCTGGTGCACCAAGTCCAATTCCAGTATATCCTCCTGGTTATACAAAAGTATCAACTTCATCACCCAGTCCAGATGAAGACGAACTGGACACAGAGGACATGAGTGACTTAGAGGAACATTGTCCTGCTAATGGACCTGTATACACTGGTTCTGAAGAAACTAAAGAACTAATGGGTAATGAATTTTGCTTAATAATGCCTGTTATTTACATATTGTATAATTTTTAAAGTGGTTTTTATTATAAAGAATAATACCTTTGCAGTTTTAGCATTAGAAACATTTTGCTTGTAATACAGTACAAAGTCCAGGATCTGGACTTGTCGGGGCTTGCAGCAACTCTGGATTTGTGAATTTTCTGCATGTTAAATCATGAGTTTAGATCTAATAAGATGACATATGGAAATTGTAAAATTAAAAGTCTGAAATAATTGTTTGTGAAATAATGGAAGTATTCATGACCTTAAGGAAATCAAAATTTACAAAATAAATAAATAAAATAAAATAAAATAAAAAAAGGGTGACACCAAATATTTATTTGTTTGCTTTATTATGCATTTCTTTCAGGGTAAGTTGTTTCTTTTTCGTATTAATACTTTCTTTTAAATTTTATAGACAGATGTAATTTCTTATTTAATTACAAAGTCCTGTAATTACCCTGTCTAAATTGTCAACTGAATTTTTTTTTTTTTTTTTTTTGTTCTCAGAAACCTCTCTATCACTTTCTTTACTATTGGTAGCGAAATTTTCTGAATTTGGAAACACTACAAATTTTGCCATTCTTTAGTTGACTGATACTTGGAGCATTGTCATTTCAAAGGAATACTTCTGTTCTATCATCTTCATTTATTACAGTTTTCCACATTTCTTCACAGTCCATTAACTAGAAAATTTCCCTTTTTGTGTGAGAGAGAGAGAGAGATTCTGAAAATTTTCAAATTCGTGGCTATCATTATAAAGATTAAAGATCATCCATTATATACTATTGACGATGTGTCACGAGATTGGCTACTAAAGATATTTTTCCCCCCAGTGGTGGGCATTTGCCTATAATGGCATTGGCCACTACTAAGGCCAGAAGTGGTGGCCATTTTATTGTGGAAGCACCTAATAGGCAGTCACCAATACCTCCTATGAAGGGACAGACAATTTTACATGCATGATTTCACCGGGATTCGAACCTGCACCCTTCGATATCGCAATCAGACTCCCTTAACTACTATACCGCCTGGGCAGCACTGACGACGTGTTGTTCTGCTAAAATTTGTCTTGCTTCTATCACGCTGAGGATATTTAACCTGAATTATATTAGTTTTGCTATTATACTTACATTTTGTTCCTGCATATGCTTAAGCTTATCTGAGTCTTGATGAAGTAAATTCCCAGATAAACTTAAGCCAGCACCATTATCTACCTACCATGCATTTTGGTGGGTTTTTTATTAGTAAACTATTTCTAGTGATTAGAATAGTTTGTAGACAGCGAGCCACACATGGCACAGCAGGTGATGACCAATAAATCATCAACTGCGATGCAACGAAAACCATAGCAGGTTCATAATGGGAAAATTACCCTTAAGACTGATCAGAACAACAGATCAGTTATTCTTAATTCAGACAATCCTAAATGGCATATGAATATTATTTACAAAATATATTTTTATGAATTTCTTTAATCGTCAACTCATTAACACTTCACGATGTACACTGAAGTGACAAATGTCATGGGATACCTCCTAATATTTTGTCGTTCCTCCTTTTGCCCGGCGAAGTGCAGCAACTCAACGTGGCATGAACTCAACAAGTCGTTGGAAGTCCCCTGCAGGAATATTGAGCCATGCTGCCTCTATAGACATCCATAATTGTGAAAGTGTTGACGGTGCAGGGTTTTGGGCACGAACTGACCTCTCGATGATGTCCCATAAATGTTCGATGGGATTCATGTCGGACGATCTAGGTGGCCAGATCATTCGCTGGAATTGTCCAGAATGTTCTTCTAACCAATCGCGAACAATTGTGGCCCGTTGACATGGCGCATTGTCATCCATAAAAATTCCATCGTTGTTTGAGTACGTGAAGTCCATGAATGGCTGTAAGTGATCTCCAAGTAGCTGAAGGTATCCATTTCCAGTCAATGATCAGTTCATTTGCACCAGAGGACCGAGTCCATGCCATGTAAAAACATCCCAGACCATTATGGAACCACCACCAGCTTGAACAGTGCCTTGTTGACAACTTGGGTCCATGGCTTCGTGGGGTCTGCGCCACACTTGAACCCTACCATCAGCTCTTACCAACTGAAATCGTGACTCATCTGACCAAGCCACGGTTTTCCATTCATTTAGGGACTAACAGATATGCTCACGAGCCCACAAGAGTCGCTGCAGGCGATGTCGTGCTGTCAGTAAAGGCACTCGAGTCGGTCTTCTGCTGGCATAGCCCAAGGAAAACAAATTTCGCCCCACTGTCCTATCGGACACGTCCCTGGTACGTCCCACATTGATTTCTGTGGTTATTTGATGCAGTGTTGCTTGTCTGTGAACATTGACAACTCTACGCAGATGTTGCTGGTCTCGGTCGTTAAGTGCAGGTGGTCGGCCACTGTGCTGTCCATGGTGGGATGTTATGCCTGAAATTAGATACTCTCAGCACACTCTTGACACTGTGGATCTTGGAATGTTGAATTCCCTAACGGTATCCGAAATGGAATGACCCATGCTTCTAGATCCAACTACCATTTCGCGTTCAAAGTCTGTTAATTCTCGTCGTGCGGCCATAATCACGTCAAAGCCTCTTCACATGAATAACTTGAACACAAATGAAAGCCCTGCCAAAGCACTTCGCATTTATACATTTTCTACGCGATACTACTGCCATCTGTATATTTGCATATTGCTATCCCATGACTTTTGTCACTTCAGTGTAGTTGGTTTAAGTTTGTAATCGTCGCCAAGCGTAATGTCAGCAGAAATGGTTATCATGCTATTTGATTTTCAATTACTGATATAGAAAACAAATTGGTTAGGACATCATTGTGCGAGTCATTTCTTAAGCTGCCTGAGTTGGTAGTCATGTGATGATGAAAGCAAAAAAGAATAAAAAAATGATTAGCTAGGTTGTAAGGGCTAAATGATATTCAGTAAGCATAAAAATCAGGGATAAACTTTGATAGAATGTTTTAGTTTGAGATGTATGCCAAGCAATAAGGTGGCTATGAAGCTGAATTACTGATCATAATGATTAATGGTATTATGTTATTGTGTTTCTTCAATATTGGTGTTTTATTTACTGCCGAAGTGAAATTAAGAATCATTACTCTCATATGCTCTATTATGAAAAAATGTCTAATGTTCATGTGTGAAGGATTAAGCATATGCTACCATTGGAATCTAATTTTTCTTCATTTTTTTCCCTTTTGGCAAAAGTCCCCCCCCCCCGAAAAAAAAAATTGCTGTGGATCAGTAGGTCCAGATTTTGGATTTTGTACTGTATATGTATATATTACACTCTAAAAGATGAAAATAGAGCAGTCATATTGTAATTTTATGGCAGGGGAACGCATAAAAATGCAAACAACCTTAAAAAACAATTTTGTGATCAGAGCATCATCTCCTTGTTGTGGACCATCAGTTCAGATTTTTTTTAGGATTTTTATCCACCTTGCAACCCCTCTATAAAATGGGGTTGGGACCTGTGGTTCGAATATCATTGAAATAAAGCATAAAGAATTGTTCAAAGTATTTGGATGAACCTATTTATTATATTATTTGTTTATTTTCAAATGGAGAGGAAGAAAGTATTTTCTTTTATGGAAGTCTTAAATGGGAATGTAAGGTAATAATTAGGATTTGTTTATTTCTGAAGATTCTTGATTCAATTTAGTTGAACCACATGCATTGTTGTCCAGTTATTACAGGTTGGAATGTCGGTTTTATAGCTATATTTTACATTTTTCTTCCATGACAGTAAGGCACCACAGTTTTTATTCTATAGATAAATATTTTTACAGTATTGAACAATTAACACAGCAGATCATGCAAAACATTTGATAGACACCAATGGCTGCTGTAGAGTTTTGTGTGTGTGTGTGCATGATATCTTCGTGCATGTTTGTTTGCTTTAAATTTAGTCTCTGGAATTCTTTGTATCTTTTCATGTTGAAATAAGCTTCAACACTTAAATAGTGTATTTATAGTATATACTATTATTTATTGTTACACCAGAAAATATTTGTGAAATTGGCATAATTTTTATAATTTTTCAGTCTGCAAAGATGATTTCCTTGGAGAGGTATTAATCTGTTCATTAATGAAAGCTGCAATATGTCTGCTTCTTACCCAAATATGCATTATTTAATATACTCTTATGATTCAGTGAATCAAAGTTCTATGCCAGTGCAGTAAATTTTAAACATCGTGTTTTCTTCTTGCGGTGGGAAATGAGAGTAGTATCAGGAAAATGCTTAATGAGATTTAATTTGCTAATAAAAGCATTCTACATTATCATGAAAAGAGAAGAACATTGCCTTTTATTTGCAAAGGACTTAGATGTGATCATTAAATTCCTTGGATAATAAAAGCAAATTATCCTCTTATTTCCAGTTTTCTTTGCTATTTATTAATGTGTTATTTATATAATAAATCTTTAGATTCATCAAAACAATGCTACTTGAGACAACTATATGTATGTCTCTATTTGATTATTTAAATAGTTTTTTCTCAAATACATTTGGTAGTGGAATTTTTTTTTTTTTTTTAAGCATAGCTAGCCTAAATGCAAACTTTAACTTAAAGTTCTTATAAGAGAAAAATGACTTATTCAGTTGCAGTAGTAGGTGCTAAAATTTATTTTGAAGAAGTACAGTGTAAATGCAAAGTCTGCTGTAGTTCTTTTGAATTCTCAGAATCCAAAAAGCATATAAAAAAGTGGAACACTACAGAAATTTCAGTCGGTATTGTTTTGCAAGTAAAAAATCAGCTTCTTCATTCATTTACAGATCGTCTTGATAAGTAATCCATATGTGAGAATTACATTATATATAAAAAAAAAAAAAAAAAAAAAAAAAAAAAAATAGTTGTAGGATTGTATTTCATGTATTTCATGATCCATGCTGGTTTATTGTTAACATATCCATGCTTGTTTATTGTTAACATATGCTATATTTTTTCTATTCTAAGGTACATCACTTAATATAAAAATTACCTACAAATAAATAATAAATAAATAAAAAGTAAAAAAAAAAAAAAAAAAACTTTTAATTTAAGAAAAGGAAATAAGTGAAATAAAACATTAAAATAAAATGCATCTGCTAAATTATTTGTAGTAAGCAATTTTCGTTTATTAACAATAATGGTACAGCTATTTTAAATTAATAGTTTTAAAAAAATTAGTAATTGAGAAAACTATGATTCTAAGACACATTTCATTTTTAGCAATGTTTATGTGGGGGGATGTGTCTTAAAATGAAAGAAATATGATATTTCAATTTCAGTTAAGGGGATTTCTTTCATTAAGTTATGCTTTGTAATATCTTCATTCAGAGATAGAGAATTTCTTTCTATTCAGCTCTTGATGGTATAAATACTTTAATTAGAAAATTGAAAGAAATTTGTTTCTATCAGTTACTAAAGTCTTAATCTGATGACAAGTAGATTCACTTACTCTGTGATAGTTTCTTTTGTACACTTTTAATTTCTCTAAAGTAGAATCATCTTATAACTTAATTTATTTTCAAATAATAATATAATACGGACTGGGTAGTGTCTTGCCCGAATTTTTTGCTTCTTTCTATTTCTTACACTGCCAAAAATCATTCACTAATTCTGTAAATAATAAAAATAATAGTTATAATGAAGAGAGTGCAGCATGATGTGAACTTTTTGGGGTTTTTAAATAAACAACATTCATGTGCTGTTTAAAACTAGACTTAATTAAAACAATAAATTTATGAAGTTTCTCAATTTTTTTTTTTTTCAAGAAAATATCCATTATGTTCCTCTTTCTTAGAGAAAGGGGAAACTTAATAGCTAGTCCAAATAATATAGCTACTGAGTTGGAGTTATCTTAGATTGTTATTTTAATACTTTCTAATGCTTTGTTGTTCTAATTTCATGTTGCAGAATTGTAAACTATTTAACAGTGTACAACTGATTCTTATAATGCTTTACCGCCTGAGTGGCATCACTGGCTTTTAAGAGATTTTTTGTCATTTGGTATATATTAGTTTATAATTTAAAAACATCTTAAATAATGGAAACTTATGAAAACAGAGACTAAAATTATTAATTATACAAATCCAGCATATATGTGCTCTTAAATACGGGTTTTCATGAGCAAATCAAAATTGGCATGTCAATTAGTGCATGGAAAAGTTGAGGAATATGGTATTTCAAAAGATTGGAACAACTCCATACAATAGTGAATATATTAGTTATTTCAGAAGTCTTAATTTATTCCTTACATAATTTGTTATGTATTCATCTTAACAGTATATAATTAAGAATATCCTTTAATATTGATTTTTTTTTTTAAATTCTGCTTCTGTATTACTTAATTTTCATTATTCTCAATAGTGCAGTTTTATTGTGGCTATCCATTTTTAATGCTTTTTCCTTGTATATATATGATAATTTTATTATATTTAAAATTCCTTTTCTATATGTACAATGCAGATGAACAACAGGTTTCTTCTTCTCATCAGCTATTTAGTTGGCAATCTGTGTCATCGAGCAGTTCTCCATTTCAACCCACCATGAAGTGCAGCATTAGTATTAGTAGTACAAACCAGATTCCTTCCAGCAGTGACAGTTTTTATGGTTCACCACAAGTTGACTATGGTGCTTTAATGGATGCCAGTGAAACTAGTAACAAAGTCATTGATTTAAAGAGACATTTTCCCCTGAAACTTGAAGGGAACAGTGAAATGAAAAAGATGAAAATGGCAGCCTTACGAATTCTTAAAGATGAGCCCATACCAGAGGGATATTCAAGATGTCGTTTCAATGAAAACTGCGGCTATCCACTTTGTGGTTATCGCGAACATCAAACTCATTTTCATTGCATGAGAAAAGATTGTGGTTACAGTTTTTGTGACAAAACTAGATTTGTGCAACATACTGCAAGACATGAACGATTGGATACTCTGATGGGGGGAGATTTTCAGCAGTATAGGTCTACAGTAAATTGTGGAAGACCTGACTGTGTATATCTTAATACTTTGGGTGCCATGACACACAAATCATCTCATTTCCACTGCCGAAAGTGTGATTTTGTATGTACAGATACTAACAAGGTTGTAGCCCATCGCAGGCAACATGCAAAAATGGACAGCATTTATGCTGCTGGATTTGAGAAATATACTCAATTTCAGAGTTGTAATATAAGTAATTGTAACCATAATCAAAAACAAACTCATTATCATTGTCTTAAATGTCAACATGCAGTTTTAGGCCTTTCTCAAATGTCTTCCCATAAATATCGCCATATGGATTGATAAATGGTGCTTTTATATGGTAATTGTGCCAACTACTGAAAACATCTATAACTGTTGGCATTAAAGCAATCAAAATTGTGTTTAGTGTTTTGCTTCCCTTTATTGAATATTTATTGTTTCGTCTCTATTAGTGATACAATTATAATAAATGATGTCAAACATCAATGTGATATCCTTGCCGGTGCAGAGCACTTTCATGATGTGCCTTCTGAAATGTTTTCAATTATCTGAATTTTAAAATATCATTTTCAATTACTTTGTAAAGTCAATTTTTATTGGCCATAAAGAATTATATTTTCGAGAAATATCTGCTCTGTCCAGAATGTAGCAACTGGAAATTAGGAACAGTATCTAAATAAGCATACATTCATCTCTAAAACTTGCTCATTCTAGGTCACTGTCTTTAAGTACTGCATAAAATACAAAAGCATATTTCATTGCTCTTTGTTGATATTTTATGACTGAATAAGGTGTCAATAAATGAGGGTCCAATTAGTTAATTATCCCTATGTCTTATACTCATAGCATTCCTTCTGGATCAGTTAGCATCTGGTGCAATATTGAGGAATAGTGCCAAATATTTTTTTCCTCATTTTATAATCGCTTTATCCATGAAAATTAGTTTTAGTGGTTCTCTTGTAATCTGTCTAGCAACTGCTGTACCTTGGCTGAGACATAGCAGCTGTCATTTATAATTTAAATGCCTCCATTTTTAAAAGCATCTTAAGTATATTCTTAGATGTCATGCTGACACATTCCCTTTTGTCAATATTGCTGTTAGCTTTTATTTGTTTAAATCCAAAAATTCGAAACGCTAACCATTCATATACCATTGTTTATAGAATTGTAAGTATTCTGAACCCTTACTTTCATGTATTGTAAAGATGTGAAAATACTTGGTGATTTATGATCCTTTGTGTTTTAATTGTATATGTAATACTGCATATTTGATATAATTATATTTCAGAGTATACATTAAATTGAGGAAATGTGCAGTTGTATTTGCTTGAAAACTTTTTAATTTCATCTTTGAAAATTTAAGTAAATGGTTTTCTCTCTTAACAGTTTTATGAATTTTAATTATAATTTTATTCTTAGTTTACTTTTCACTATGATATAGTGTTTTGAATTTGTAATAAGTAGAGCAATATATTCATAATTGCATTTGTAATAAGTAGAACAATATATTCATAATACAATTTTATTTGCTAGTGTGAATGAAGTTGTAGCATGGACAGCTATAGTTTACTTTTCATCAGTTAATTTTCACTTCAATGGAAATTTCAAAGTTAATTTTAAATATTATTATGAACAAATAACACATGTCATTTTAAGCTTGTATTTTTCATTTATAAATGTTTCTTTATAAAGTTATCTAAGTGTAACTTCCTTCTTAATAAAAATTTGCTTGTGTTTCTAATATACTAGATAATAATTCTCCTTAAAATGCTCATACACATATTTTATAAGAATAATTTTTAAGACCTATGTGGTATGTTTTATCTGTTTTTAAGTTTAATTATAAATCTGAAACAAAGCCTTATAAAAAAGCATTTCTTTTCATTGTTTTTTCACGTCAGATTATTTTTTAGGATATTTTACATTTGATTTATGTAGGTTATTTACTTTCCATTTTCAACTTATAAATCAATTAGTATTTTTGATGTACTGCACTGTTTTTATTCTTTAATAATTATAAACAGAGATTAAATTAAATTCCCCATTTATAATTTTTGACATAATCATCAGAGTGTTTATGGTGTGATTCAGTAATTGAAACACTGAATGTTGAAGTGTTAAAGGGTAAAACTATGTGTAGTGATTTTTTAAAGTATGCAACATTATTTTAAAATGTCATATTTTTCTATATATTACTTTTGTACCAAGAAAAGTGTATCAAGACTTTAGTTACATTTTTGTGCTTTTTAAAATTATATTTGTCTCCCAGATTGTGAAATTGTAGTTTCACGAAATTTGAGACCAATTTTTTAGTGAACATTTCTGATAAGTTTTTCATTCCTTACCACATTAAAGAAATGTTTTCAAGTTAAACTTTTCATATCTCTATTATATTTTAATGTATACCGCAGTTAAATTCATGCAAGATTGCTTTGCATTTCACTCCATTGATTTGGGATCAGTTTGGTTTTAAAACTATGAATCAACATTATCACAGATACGAATATTTTTGTGCAAGTTTCAAATTTTTAAGTATTTTCACATGATCCATAATCAGAACATATTAAGTTGCATATATTCAGTAAGTTATATGGTAGTATCATGTTATGATAAATTTTTGCATTTTACAGATTGACTTAAAAATTTTCTATTGCTGTCTAAAGTGTGTATCCTACAAAAAAGGGGAAAAAAGAGGCACCTGTAACTCTTGTCTTCTATATTTTAACATGATTAAATAATATCTCTAGCAGCTTTCATGATCAGCAAATTAGTATTTGTGTAAAATATAATGATTTAAAATTTTAAAACTGTTGCCTCAAAAGAGAAAACATTTTTCTGAGCATTTAATTTTCTAAAGTACAGTTATTGAAGTAAAGTCATATTTATCTTTTTAGAATCTCATGCCCAATCTATTATTAAAATAGAGGTATCATTCAATTAATATTTTTTTCCACTTTTCCTTGTACAAGTCTAATTTCCACCATTTTACTTTGTATAAAATCTAACTGTCTCTTTGTATTAAATGTCATTCAGATGCCTAAACATATATGTAAAAGTATATATATACATAGGTGGAAAATTAGACAATCATTTCATATATAGTTCGTAATAATTGCTTTTCCAGTATTTTTATTTGCTGATTCATTTAGTGTACTCCAAAGGTGTTTTGTGGCGCTGGTTGTCGAATGTAATGTTGAATAATACTGCAGTGACCTATTTTTGTATATATTTTAGTCCTAGTGGAGAAAGATTAGTGCCTTTGATCCACTGCTGCCCCAAGTTTTATGTTGTCACTCTTTTGTTGTATACTCTTGTATGTCCTCCAAGGTGGAACGTCAGTGATGTATAATAAAATATTAATCTCAGTTTACCATTTTTTCCTTATATTTTGGCACTATATAATCTTAGTATAATGTTTTTATCATTTTGAAAGAGAGTAGAAAATTGATTTTAAAATAATAAGAAAGTATATCTGTTTTGACAAACATATCAGCAAGTTTTTGTATATATGTCTAAATGAATAGTTTGTCTTTTGATGTATATTATTACAACAAAATATAAGAACAAAATTTTGAAAAGCAATTTTATTCCTGAATAAGGTACATATTGACACAAAAGTTGTGTTCGTTTACTATACTTTGTCTGCATCTAATTTAAACGAAATTCTATATACGAAAATGTAATTTTGTTTTATCTCTAGAAATGGTCAAGAAACAGATACCGATTTTTATCTGGTTCCCTCTAATTTCCCATGCTTTTGGTTTTCACGAGTCAAAAGCAGAATCTGAGAGCCCTTTAAAATGAGCTTAACCCACAATTCTAGGACAAAAATCCAATTAATATTTTATAGGAATTTTTATCGCTGTTCCAAATATAAAATATGTAAATAGTTTTCTGGTTGAAAATAGAATTTGTTTCAAGATGGTACCAACTTGTGCCTATGAAAGCCAACACTGTTGGCTTAAAATTAAAGATAATGGATTAACTTAAAATTAATTAAATTTAAGCATAGCTTAACGGCTTCACAGTTTAACTAGCATGCAAGCTGGCTCTGCCCGACATCAGCATAAAACAAGCCTAATGATAACAATAATTAGTGCCACAGAATTCTAATTGCTAGAGAATCAAAGTTAGCATTGTTGCCTTAAAGCAGGCAGAACATGCTTTGATTTTATCCTCTGTCTGCATGTTAAATATTTTCATAAATGTGTTTTCTTTTAAATTATCTTGTCATAGAATTTTATTTATTCAGGCAGCTGCAAGACTGTGGAAGTTTTTTTAAGTATCAATGAGTTTAATTAAGCTTCCCCAAATTAAGTTAAAATGCTAAAGAATGTAGGAAATTTAATATGCACAATTTAAAGCCTGTCATTTTTTCTCATTAAGAAAAGTATTTGAAAAGAAATAAAAGAAGATTATGATATTAAAGCATGTATGACTGCATACTGCAAATACCATATTCAAGGTATATCTACAAGCATGTTTTAAGGTTATTTAAGAACTGTGTCTGCTTTGTTAGCATGCCAAAGATTATTCTGTGTGCTAAGATTTTTAAAGATAGCAACTGAATGTTATATTAATTTTCAGGAAATCAAATATTACTTTGATTTTAAAAATGTATTTATTTCAATTTTATTTCTCAAAGCAATTGAGATCATAGACTACAATTTTAAATTTTTGATTATTAGAGCTCCAACAAAACTGCCATGCAAAACTGCAAATGACTCATCTAGTAAAATAAAGAAGTTTGACTTGATACACAAAAGCTAATTAAATCTATTTTTATATGCACTGCTTGTTAAGCTAGTTTGGGACTCCAGACGACTAGTTTTTTTCATTTTTCCTGAGCAAAAAACATGTTTTGTGAGGAATTATAGGATGACCTAGGGGTCCTACCTTAGGGCCTACTGGATTTGGGTGATAATCAGGTTCAGTTTGTATAGAAAGGAATGTACAGGTAATCATTAGTATTTGACCGTAGTTGGATTTGCTGTCAATGTTTATAAGAAAATATAATTTATGAAAAAGGAAGTACCAAAGAAATGAGCAGGTAATGAGGCTAGATTTCCAGAAGAATGAACGTGCGTGTCCAAAAGTTATGCAACAAAATAAGGAGATAGAAAGAAAAGTATGAATTCGAACTCACTAATTTTCGCAGATCATGGGCTATAAGAAAGTACAATAATGTTGAGAAATATGAAGAAAATTAGCAATAAATAATAAAATATTAATGGTTAAAACACATTGAATTTTTTGATAACAAAAGTTTTCCTTCTGCGGGCCTGTCGATCTGAATGTGGTGACCTTTTCTAGAAGTACATGACCGACATCATCGATTCATGGCAAAATATCATCTTGGGTGATATGGAGCATCTGGTACCCATTCACGCAACAGATATGTATTTAGCTCACAACAGTTCTGGGGAGAGTTATAAGCAGATGTTTTCTAAGTATGTACTAGTATACAAAGCACGTTCAGATTATGAATACTGTCCGACAATATAATCACTCGCGCATTATTTATAAAAAAATGGCATGGCTACAAGAAATAGGCAAACGTATTAGACTAGGATGTGATTTTCTCTACCGCACTGCAGTCGCGGCACTATAAAGAAAGAGATCAGTATGGTCGCCGACAGTACGATCGACCACAATTGTTTGTAATCAATCATTCACTTTCAATAATGTACTCACGTATTTGAATTAGTGTTGTCTTAAGGGTTCTCTAGATCATGGTGGACTTGGTGCTATACTAATTAACCGTATGGTAGAGGCATAGTGCCCACGTCCCCCGTTCCTTATCCTTATCCTTATGATCGCCGACAATAAACCTTGCTCAAATTATTAAAGCAGTGGTTTTGTTTGCGTGCATTTCGCAGTCTCTTTGTTCTTTCTGGCTTTAAAACCATCACTCATCTGTATACAGCTCAATACTCTATTGTTCAATCGAGTTGTAGTTATGTTGAGATAAATAAGCAGAATCCTCTTGTACTAGGATGACCCCATTTTCTCTAGTGCGGTCCGTATGTATTGCGTCAATTTTTACCTCCGTATCGCGTATAGAGGCAGTTAGCGATTCACCTCCATATAGCATATGGAGGCAGTCGGTTACAGCCGAAAACATCGCGGACGAAAACGTCGCTGAGAAAACAACGCAAGGCGAAAACGTCGTGCTACAAAACATCGCAAAGAGAATGCATCGCAGTCCTAAAACATCGTCGTCGAAAATAAAGCGGTTCAAAAACTTCGCAGTTTAAAAACATCGTCGTCGAAAATATCGTGGTAAAAATAAAGTATCTACAAATCATCGCATGACGATAACATCGCAGACATGCTTTTTTCAGGCTTTAATAACTGTAAATGGGTATTCCTATAATGATTTGTGAGCGCAAGATGGAAAGAAGGATAATTTTTACATTCATATTTTTTATTCACTAATAAATTTTTGCTGAGAAAATAAGAAGAAAACTTAAGCATAGAAAATTAATGCAACTTATTAGCACTGAATAGAATTTTAAACCGACATAGTTAACTAACAAAGGCCATTAATAAACCATTTTTATAAAGTTTTTACTGGTAATTTTTCATGAAAAGTATAATCTATAAGTTGCCTTTAATTAATTAATGCAATAATTTAATTTTTTCAGCAAAAATTTATTAGTCAATAAAAAAACTGTGAAAGTAAAAATTATCCTTTTTTACATCTTGCGCTCACAAATCCTTATGAGAACCATATTTCCATTTACAGTTATTAAAGCCTTAAAAAAAGCATGTTTGCGATGTTATCGTCATGCGATGATTTGTAGATACTTTATTTTTTACCACGATATTTTCGACGACGATATTTTTAAACTGCGAAGATTTTGAACCGCTTTATTTTCGACGACGATATTTTGTATCACGATGTTTTAGGACTGCGATGTTTTCTCCCACGATGTTTTGTAGCACGAAGTTTTCGCCTTACGTTGTTTCCTCCGCGACGTTTTCGTCCGAGATGTTATTGGCGGACACCGAGGCAGTCAGCCTCTATACGCGATTCACCTCCATATAGCATATGGAGGCAGGCAGCCTCTATACGCGATTCACCTCCATATAGCATATGGAGGCAGCCAGCTGTTTATAGTAGTGCAGTACGTTCGCGTTTATCGCCATCATATGTCCTTTATTGATTGATGGAATAACCTTGAGATAGTTGAATATTTCTCTAAACTTTTATCCCCGTTATAAATTCGTACTTTTATCCCAGTTGTGAAAGTAATGGAAAAGCGTGTTAATAATTTTCATAGTAGTAAGATCGCAATGTTTATTACGAATCTTGTGATCTCTTCCAAGCCTATTTATAGAGTAACTTTAAAACATTTTCTCTGCGTTTCAAGTAGTTTTATATATTTGTAAATAGTACATCATTGAAACTAAAGTATATTAATTTAAAACTGGTTGCGTCAATAGTTTTGAAATACTAGCTGGTACTTTAAAATTACGAAGCAATTAACAAAATATCCATATTTCTGGTTTTCAATATATGCGATTTATTGTCTTATTTTAAAATTATGTCCAACTTTGAGATAAAAAACAAAATATGCCGCATAAAAATTTAGCGTCAGTTTCTTCAACTTGTAAGGAATATGCCTTTTATTAAATGTAACTTTTGGAAAATCTCAATAAGACTAAGCGACTTATCGCTATCTCTAACATGAAAACAGAAAGCGTTTAAAAGACCTTTTTTGTTTAAAACCAGTAAGTGTAACAGAAGGCACACCTGGTCCTTACAAAATCAGCCAGCAGTTATGGCGAGAACTCTAAGCAGAATTTTAAATTAAAAACCAAATCCAAGTATCACTTAGCCAAGGGAAAATCTAAACGCGAAAGTTGGCTCGTAAGCTTACTCTGGCATGAAAGTACTATCTGCAAGAATATATAGCAACTCCGAAGACAGGAGCAAACTAGTAACGTGGCTTTCAGCAGGCAGAATGTACACTCTGTCTAAAGAAGCTCAAACTCTTATTTAAATATGCGTGAACTAATTTGCATTCTGGCAGGAAAATGGAAAGAGAGGAGTGACACTACAGGTTCAGAACATAAAATTAGCTGGTTAAGTAACATAAATAAACTTCACACTAAGTTTCGTTTATGTTTTAACATGCACCATGCGCAATTAGTTATATTTTGTGCGTACCACATAAAATATTATTTTTAATTCATACCCTTCTACAGGGAAAGATATCTATATTTAAGAAAGTAATAAATTTACCAATGTTTTTGCTGTGATTTAAAAACCGCTTTCCTATGATATAAATAAAAGAACTCAAAGTAATACAGTCAAAAGTCTTTAAAAAGGACTCGTCTTGACTTCGGCGATTCCGGATTATC